AATGCCCCCCCCGCCTCTGCAAACGGCAGCCGCCCCGGCTCCTGACTACTCACCTCCCATGCCGTAACCAGCGCAGGAGGATGGATCGCAGTACCCCGGCGGGCCAGAAGCACCCTGTGAGCCCGGGGGCCCCATGTGGCCGGTGGGACCTCGCGGGCCTGGAGAACCTGGTGGTCCTGGACTGCCAGTTCGACTTTCTCCTGGAGGTCCTGTGTAGAAGGGGGAGATGAAACATCTGAGCAGCGTCTTTCATAAAGCAGTGAGTTGAGGCCACCTTGGCAGGCCTGGTGCTTGGAAACCATGGCACTGAGCATGCTACAAACACTTCCAAGAGAGAGTTTGAGCAGAGGAACTGGGGATCCTGGCTCTGACTCCCCCGGGCAAGCTGAGGGAAAGGCTGCAGCGTTCCTCTGGCAAGGAAGGCAAAGCAGCGGCCAGAGAGGAGGCTCGTCAGGAACGGGGAACCGCTGCTTCATCTTCCTTGCCAGAGACAGCTTTTAGCCAGAAATTTATACTAGAGCAAATGTTTCACCAAGTGTCAGACATTTGGAAGGGCAGTTTTGGGGTGGGGGGGGAGGACAGCCCTGGATGCCTATGCAGCTCCTGATTCACCCACTCCCTTTCAGAACAGCTTCTGGGTAACGCCAGCCTTGATACTGGTGCTCTAATGGCCAGAATATCCTAACGAAGGCAATGCAATTTTATGCCTGTTTCAACAGGACCTGGATATCGCCCTCTCTGCTTTTTCAGGAGCTAAATTTAAATCCCCGTGATTAATGTGCTTAATTAATATACATTTCTCTGTCAAGTTTTACAGTTAGGTATGACCTTGAGTCAATGGGAAAACAAATGCAATTAGTCCAGATTTTTTTCCCTTCCAGACTCCATCTCTGAAAAAAAACCCTAAAATATTAAAAAAGAAGGTTTTGGAGAAGCAGTTTATCACAGGGAAAAGGAAAATACTTGTGACACTGATGACACCATCACATGACACAGCACAACGTCCTATTGCATAGTAAGAAAATTACAACAGTTAAGATGCCTGAACTACTGACTGTTCTGCTGCTTAAGCCTTAGAAGTGGAGGACAGAGCCATGCAGGTCTTAGCTGCTTTGCACATGGGTCAGAGTGGTCTAATCCAGGTGTCCCAAACTTAACAACTTTACCTGTAGATCCTGGTGGGCCTCGGGGTCCTTGTGTTCCCACACCTGGATTGCCTTTTTCTCCTTTCTCGCCTGGTAAACCTAAGGAAATAGTACTCTGATCAGAGTCACATTTTGAACAAAACTGTGCGCAGTGTTTATTATTTAACCGGGATTATAGTTCCATATGTTATTTTTCATGTAAAAACAGATGGCAAAGAAGGAAGGAGGTAAAAATAAAGAATTACTTGGTTCTTTTTCCCTCCCTTCCCTGACAGCCTCTCAAGGGAAACATGGCATTCCTGGGGTCTTAAACATTCCTCCTGCCATGGTGGTTTCATCGAGGTGGTATGCAGAGGCATCGGCCAGTTTCCAGGCTGCACTTCCTGCTGGAAAGCTGCCTCTGGACTACACCAAGGTACAAGTATTGTAAGTCAGAAGGATCCTCAGAGCTTCACAAAGCTGTCTATAAATTACTGTGCGGCCCAGAGAAGTCACATTTTTTAATGTGACAGACAATTTTCCTTCAAACATTCACCCACCAAACAGTGGTTCAGCACAAGATGGTTCTATGCATAAATGGAGAGAGTTATCGTGGGTTATTGCAGAGTCTTGCTAAAACACAAGAATGGAGTTCCAGCACAGTCAAAATCTGTCCCCCCAAACAAAGCCCAGTCTAAGAGGTTCCCAGCCACAGAAGTCTGATGCTCCAACATGCACAGCCACTGAGTTGTGTCCCCACACTTGCTCATGGCCCTGAATTTCAATCATTGGGTCTGATCCATGGAGATCACAGATCTAATAATCCAGAGAAGGCACTACCTTCTTCCAGCTTTCCATCTCCTTCTGCACTACCACTATGGCATCCTATAAAAACACCTTCTATAAGCAGCGATCACAATGAGCAGTGTCAAATTAAAGTAGGTGTCAAAACTACAAATTCCAGAACCTGAGTTTCCACCGGCGACTTGGAAACTCTCATAAAGTCTGTGTTTGATTTGGATGGCTCAAAGACACAAAATCCAGGCTGGTTTGTGGGACTTTCCCCCCATTTTCCAGACCTCCCAGCACTGGTAATTGCTCTCCCTGCTTCACAGCTTCCACACTTTCAGAGTCAAAGCCAATAGAGAGCACCTTCATAAAAACAAAGCAGAAAGAAAACATCTGCTACCCTTGATGGGGCAGCATCTACAATTTCAACTGACTGGCCTCCTTCCTTCCCTTCTGCTCAGGTAACTATTACCTCTTAGGGAAAAACATCTGGAAGACACCTCA